ATATCCGTGACGCTGTTAGAATGGTGCACTGTGGGAAACTCTTACTTCCTCCCCAGGATCTCGACATAGTCCTTCTGGCAGAGCCGCGTGTCCACACCGGGCTCCTTCAGCCGGAACATGTCGAACTTCAGACGGATCTTCATTCCTACGGGAACCTGAAAGAGGGAGACGGAGAAAAGGGGAAAGAGTGAGATGAAACGTTGCAGTAAAGCTGTAAGGGCAGCTCTGCCAGGGCTTGATCAGTTATTCTGGAACGAGAGTCCTCTAAGGACAACTAGTTTGTGGCAGCAGGAGGTGTCAGTATTTGTGGACCAGTAGGGGTCGCTCTTTCCACCAGAACTTCCCAACCTTTATTCCGGTATGGTGACACTGCTGTAGGAGGCAGTGTGTGTCTGTGTGTGTGATAGACTGGTGTCCTGTCTAGGGTGTACCCTGCCTTGCTCCTGCTGCTTGCTGGGATAGACTCCAGCTCCCCCACGACCTATGTTAGAGTGGCAAGATGGATATAGAGAAAAGTCAGAGAGCCGTCAGAGGCCCTGCTGTACCTCGATGGTCCACTTGCAGTCCAGGGACGGGGGATAGAAGCTGGGGTAGTGCGGAGAGCTGATGCTCCCATTCGGGTTTTTCAGAACCTCACTGCACACTGCAGACAGAAGAGGTCAAAGGTGAGAGGGCGACCCCATGTTACACAGATCCTGCACATCAACAGAGGCCACAAAAAGAGCTCTGCGCCTTGGTCCTCAACTTGAAGAGCTTCAGACCTGCGCAGCGCTGTGGGTCTCATTGAGCCCAGGCAGTCGGAGAGGCGGTGGGCTACCTGTGGTCAGCGGGATGCGCTTGTACTCTGCAGTGAATCCCGGCCTCTGGATGTCACCGTCTGAGATGAGGTTGACCAGCATGATGTTCGTGGAGGAGATCACTTCCAGGGGGTTGCTAGGTGGGCGCTGACCACACTGCCTGTAGGACATGGGCAAGGGGAGGTCTTAAGGCACAGCCCGGCGTGCGGCAGAAGACAGGGAGGCTGGGAAGGGACACACAAAACGGGCACACGTACTTCGTGATGGCCTGCGACTCGTCGGGGCTCAGCGAGTCGTAGATGAAGACGAAGTCACTCTTGCAGTCGTCCTCCACGTGGAAGAAAGGGAAGGAGAGGTGGATGGCAGTGCCCTGGGGCGCCCGGATCTGCCACTGGCACCTCACTTTGGGAGGGTACATGTCGGGGTACCCAGGCGACTGGAAAGTCTGGACCTGATCGCCAGCCACCAGCATGTGGAAACACCCCTCTGGAGGAAAGACAGCCAGGCAGGACGATCACGTTCCAGACACAGCTCGCCGGGCGTGCCGAGAAACCACTGGAGAGGGATCGGGATGGGGGGGATACTTACCGCCTCTCGGGTTCCTGACCATCCTGGGGTCGGTCTCTGCAACCGGAAGACAAAGAGATTTCCTTGACCTCACGAATCGGACGGCTCTT